TATTGGTTTGATTGCACTATATTGAGCTTGTACTTAAATATTAATTTAACACAACGATGTATTTGTAGACGCTGTTGCAATAATTCATCAACATTTTTGGTGGATAAATCAACCTAAGATTAGTTTTTTTTGTCAATAGTAGATCACAATTGGTCAGTGCATTAGTTTAATCCCTACATTAGCAGAGCGAGACTTGATCTCGAATGTGATGGTGTTTATTTTTAATGGATTTACAACTGCCACTTGACTAAAATCACTTCAACACCTAAGATTAGTTGTAAACGATAAAAATAAAGTGCTGCTAAATTGTTTGAACTAATTTAGGTGAGTTTGATGTTATTATATCCGAGAGTTTAGTAATAAAGTGTTTTACGAACATATTAAACTTAAACGTATTACATATTTAAATGTTTTCATTTGCTAACATTTTGTGTTTTGAGACTTTCATTTATAAATATTTTACCAACTTTAAAATCATAGTATAGCAAATCAAAATGTTACAAAAAAGAAGTAACCAAACATTAAATTAAGATAATAAATAACATATGGTAAAAATCTTACAAGTAAACGAAAGTAAATATCTTATCATTTGGGTTTTTACCGCTATATGCTGTGTTTAGGTGTGATTTCTATTACCTGATTTTTTTTAATCAAAAAACACATATAAAATGGGTGTTGTTGTTGATCTTGATCTTATCCCACGCTCTATTACAACAATTAGAGCATTATTCACTGATGAATTGGGATAGTCTAAAAATCAAGAATCTAAAATCAAAACAATTTGTATATTGGCTTCATATCCATATGATAGTACAACCCAAAGTTCTGTTCAGTTCCACCTGGTTTCTGATTTTTATTGAACATTGCAAACAAAAACCCATCAATGCTATTTTTTGGCCTCTTCGGTGTTCCTTTACCGCCATCCACATGTTTGACAAAATTTCTGTTGTATCTAGACGCGATATATGGTGTTGTTAAGTTCCTGTTACCGGCAGAAGGCCATCCAGTCTCTGCTACTACCATGGGTAAATCTTTCACACCTTCTTTCTCCATTGCCCACACAAACGCATCAAATATCACATCAAACATGTTTGAATAACCCAATGACCCGTCTTGGACCATGATTGTGTCTGTGTCGAATGTGGCATAATTAAGATGGATGTTTACAGGATCAGTCGCTTAGGCGAAGTAAGGGTAGATGTTGACGAGGATAGGCGTATTTGTTTGAGACAAGAATTTTAGCACGGGAACAAGTTGTTCACGTGCTTGGGGTGTGAAATCTGCGGTGGAAGGTGAATAGGACTGGCCAAGGTTGGTCATAGCAACCGTCGTGCTGATTAAGACTGGGAGACTCCTCGACTTGACGAGGTTGGTAAGAGACTACATGACAGGTAGCACGTGCGCGCCAATTTCTCCAGGAATGACTTCGTTTCCGACGGTTATAAACGTAATATTCACGTCAGCTAAGTAAGGCTCAATGTTTGTCATGAACCATGTACTAATAGCCTCGTTGCGGACCGCAAGAGCCTGTAAATCTTGGTTCTTAACTCCTACAACGACTCCAATATTGCGGTTCCCTCGAAAGGCGTTAAGGACATCTGTGTTTGTGTCAAAATCCGAACATTGAAAATGTTTAAAGATTTGTAGAGGTTTATAACTTCGATAGGAGTTGGGAGGTTATCTCCGAGGAGACCATAGTTCAAGCCAACCTTTGTTGTTGCGGCTACAAAGTCATTGTTGTAGTTGAACATGAGTGTCGTGCACGAGAGCATGAACAAAAATATTTTTGTAGGATTATCCATGATGAAACGTGTCTGCAAAATTAGTAGCATTTGGGATATATATTATAATCTTATTTCAAATGTATATATACAATTATCGTATGTGTCAGAGTATAGAGTATAAAGTATAAAAACATGAGAGGATCATACTTGTGTAAATAGTGGAGACGAGGGAACCAAGCCAAAGTTGTTTGTCTTCTTCTTTTTGTATGTGTCTATTGCAAATCATAGGTTGTACTTAGGCCATCAGCATTGGTGAATTTGTTTGGGTGTCTTTAAATAAACAAATATTAAAAACACACTTTCTCTTTCTTTTATTCAACTTTATACCTTTTCTTTCATCATTTTACTCAACTTTTATTAATTTTATATTTAAACACACCACAACTAAAAGAAACCTTCTCTCTAAAAGTGTCTTCCTATACAACCTAAAGAAATCCTCTCTCCAAAAAATACCCACTATCTCCTCTTTTTTACTCAAATTTTATTAATTTTATATTTCAACACCCCCATTATTTCAACTAAAAACACTCTCTTTCTTCCTTTTACTCAAATTTTAATAATTTTATATTTAAAGACACCAACAAAAGTTTACCATTACTGATGCTCTTATGTTCAATTTATATACGTAGTTGAGATATGGTTACTATTTTACTAGTAACTCTAAAATAGTAAATATATAGGTTTTTAAAAAATATTAGTAAACTTTTTGTTTCCATCTTTTTTTGGGGTGTGGTTTACTTACCTACCAAGCCTATTTTAGAAAATTGCTAATTCTGATTTTATGTTTTATTTTTTTTGGTATAAATTATCTACTGTTTCATAAATAAACTGGAATTTATCTAGAAACTATGCCATAACTTCTAGAATAAAATTTTAAACTTAGCATTTATTACACCACTTAATTAATAAAGTTTTTTTTATTGATATTTTTTATGGTCTAGTAATATTAACGAGATTAGGCATGTGTCACCGTGATATTCATGGTTCGTATACTCTAAAATCAGGCTACTTTATGCAGATTCTGCTAACAGTAGTTTAGAGGGAGAGTGAGGTACGTTTAACATCATACCTTCAGAAGTTAGACAGGTTTTGTCATAATCTTTGGAAGGTTGTGTGCAACCAAAGCGTAAGGTCTTTTGGTGAAGATTGGTGCACAATGGTCTGCCTGTTGCAGACTTAATGAAAAGGAGTTTAAGACTCAGTGGCGGTCCTAAAAATGGTAAGGTCACAAACAAACAAAACAATTTGACCAATTATTATTGATATTTAT